AAAAATCTCCCATGTTCATGTTCATGGATAGGAACCAAAAGCAGTGTACAGATTTGATGCAATCCTCATCAAAATCCCTGAAGCCTTTTAAGACCTTGAAAGAACAATACTCAACTTTAGAACAAAAAACCCAATAGACAAAACAATCCTGTACTTCCAGAGTCATCACCAACCCTAACTTCAAGCTCTACTATAGAAAGAGATATGTGGGAGGCAGTTGTGAAGCTTTGACCCTTAGGTAAGGGGCCCCTGGCAGTAGGACTAAAATACAAACCTGGTGCATAAGCTAGCTTGTTGGAGTCCACGCCCTATGGCGGGATGCCATGCTCAGCCTTAATGCATGGGAGAGGGGCCTGACCGGCCCCAACCTATTGTGCCAGACTATGTTGACTCCTCATGAGAACCCTTACCTGTGGGGAATGAATTGGAGGTGGGCCGGGGGAGAGATGGGGTGGGAGGAAGTGACGGTGTGGGAGATGGTGAGAGGGTTCAGAGGAGGTGAGGGTGTGGGAGGAGGTATGGGAGGGAGAAATATAACGAAAGCTCTTTACTGCCAGCCTGGTCCCACAGCCCCATCAGCCCCAAATGAACACTCAGAGACTTTTATTAATCATAAAATTGTTGGCCACTGGCTTGGGCTTCTTATTGGCTAACTCTGTCTTAATTATTAACCCATTTCTATGAATCTAACTATTTCCACATGGCCTTATCTTACCGGAGCACTCTCCACTCGCTTCCACTCATCCAAGGATCACATAGTGATTGCTCTCTGCCTACACTTCTCAGAATCCTCCTCATCTCCTAGACACACCTATCTTGCTGCCCTATTGGCCACATTGTTTTAATCATCATCCAATAAGAAAAACATATACAGAATGACATCTCCCATTGAGAGATGTTTCTCAGGCTCCCTCTCCAGAAATGAACCCTGATTCTCCATCCTCCATGGAGGACAATCTTCCCAAGAACAATTAGAAAATCCAATGCCTAATGTAAAAAATTATACCACTCTGGATGGTAGATTGGCTTTGGAAGATGCATCAAACATACACTGAGAAAACAAAAAAAATTTATAGAACACTGTGGTTGGATTGTAAAATGAAATTAAAAAGTAAAGCCAGATTTAATTATCAGAACAAAGGAACTCTGGAGTGAATGGGGGATGCAGGAGAGAAATCACAGGGAAGGTCTGGGCTTGAATGTTAAACACCCTGTGGGCATGGTCTTGCACAGCTCTGAGGGAGGAGCTAACCCTTAGTGAGCTTTTTGAGGGTGGGGTCTGGAATAGGAGGAGTGGGTCTCCAGGAAACATCTGGTTGGAGTTTTGAATGGAGGAGTGAGACCCAGAGAAGAGAATCCTAGGACTCCTGAAGCTTTGTTTTTAAAAAAAAAATCACTTTTTTGAGACAAGGTCTCAGTTATGTATCCCTGGCTGACCTCAAACTCAGAGATTCATCTGTCTCTGCCTCCCAAGTACTGGGACTAACGGCAGACAGCACCACACTCCACAGAAGTTGCTTTCAATAAATATATACTTAATAGATATCAGAGGTTCCCAAGCCTCAGGACCATTTCTTCTGGGACATCATCTTGAAAACATCCCGACATGTTTGAGGAAGACAGCAAGTGAGAACTGACCTCCTGTGGGTCCATGCTCCTGCCTCAGCTGTTCCTTCCTCTCTCCAGGTGCTGCCAGACTCAGGAGCACTGCTATGATCAGGCAAATGAGCTGGAAAGCTGCAGTTTCCTAGACAGTCCCTACACAGCTCCTATTCATACTCTTGCTCTGGAAGTGAGGTCACCTGCAAGTTCACCCTCCAGGACATCCAGACTCTGCTTGGAGCTCAGCGTATTGTAATTTTCAAAAGCAGCCCAAGAGACAAGGAAGCCATATGACAGAGCTCACATGGAGGGTTTTCTATTAGGGGAAAGGGAATGGGAAAGGGGGAGGGGGAGGAAGACTGAACTCTGAAGACAGGAGCAGATGAAGAGGAGAGGCAGAGAGAGAAAGAGAGTGAGGAAGAGAGACAGAGAGAGGCAGAAAAACAGAGGGAGCTGGAGAGATGGGTCGGCCCCTTTTTAAAGGGAATGTAGTGAATTGCACAGGTGGTGTTCTTAGTGGCTACAGCTGAGGGTGTGTCCTGTCAGAACCCCAAGGACAGATGCCTGAATGCTAACACAGCAGGTTTGTAAGGGTGTGTGGAATTATAAATGACAGTCACCATTTAGTGGCCATTTCCTTGGTCCCATTTGACCTCACTACAGCCTTAAGAGGTAGATGCTAAAATATAGATGAGGATGTTGATGAGGAGGAAGATGAGGAAGGCTGGGCCACTTGACCAAGTTCACCCAGCTTAGAAGTGATGGCATTTGGCTCTGAAACAATGATCTTCATCATTCCAAAGCCTCTTTTTAAAAAACATTTAAAGATTTTACGTAATTCTCTGGAGTCATGTCTGTGCCACATCACAGGTGTTGAGGTCTAAGGACAAAGTTCAGGAGTCTGTTCTCTCCTTGGACCATGTGAGTCCTGGGGATGGAACTCCACTTCAGATTTGGCGGCAAGTGCCTTTATCCCCTGAGCCATCTTGCCTGCCCCAAGCCTCTCCTATTAGCTGCTATATACGGATTCCATGTTTACTAAACAACTGAAAGCTGCATCATTGGCTGTAAGCCAAGCACTAGACAAAACACCTATGCAGGGCAAGATTTATCATTCCCATTTTACAGGTGAGGAGTCAGAGGGCTGGGAAA